ATTGTTTCAATCTCTAGAACTTAACTAGGCTAATAATCTCTTCTCAAAAGTCAAATTTTCCTAAATAAGTGTTTGGGACTTAACCAAATCATTTGGTGCATCTTCTGTTTCATGCATCTGCCTTTTTTTTCCTGATTTTCTATATTTTTCGTCAATTTTCTTTTTTTAAACACTTTTTTTATTTGCAGCATTATCCCCCTTAAATTTTGTAAATGACCCATGTAACAAATTTTAGGCCGTTAATTCATAAGTCAGTTGACTTTAGGGCAACATATTTTAATAACTCGAATCATAAAGGTTATGAAGAGAAATTTTCAAATGAAATATTTTTTATATATTGATTTGTGCAAGTAAATCAATCTATAATTTAAGACTTTCGCCCAATTTCATCATATTGGGTTTAGACAATCCACACAAAGTTTTTTAATTTCACACATGAAAGCCAATTATTTCAACATCTTCCTACAACAGTGAAATCCTCCAAACTATTCTAAATTTAGTCTAATGATGTATTTTGGGTTTATCATCTATGGTTCACTATTTCAACATATCCAATTATAAAATCAACTCATTCCTACACAATGATTAACTTAAATGATGTGCTCAATATATATCAAATTTCACACGAAAAAAGCAAAAATGAACTAAGCATGTAACATATCATCATTCATAGATCAATTCATTATTAAATATATTCTTCATTGTTAGGTAGGGCAACTAAATCATACAAGCACATAAAAAGAAAATATTTTTGAAAATTTTCAATTTTTTTTTTTTTGTTTTGTATTTTTCTAATATCTAAAGTAATAAAACACATACAAAAAAAGAAAAATAAATAAATAAATCTCATATTTTCCACCCCCAAACTTAAATGAAATATTGTCTTCAATGTGTTAAATCCTAAGTCCACATATAAAGGGGCGTGGAATAAAATGAAGAAAATACTCACCTGATATAACGTGAAGTCCAATGACTAGCTTGTCCTATTGCTCTTGTTGTCTCATTGGTAAATGTTAGTTTTAGTGTTTTGTAACATCATTTATGAACTCCCCCGCCTTGATAAACATGTTTTTGACTATTCCGTAGAGGTGTTTCAACAATCTATCCGCCAGTTGAAGGATGATAGAAGCTGCCTTGGGATCTCCCAATCCAAATTTCCTATAAAGAGGGAAAGGAATTTAGTTAATACTTGCCCTTGAATCAATTAAACAATTAATACCTTGTAAGTTTCGTATAGAGTAAGGTAGAGTGAATCTCCCTGAATCTTTAAGTTTAGGAGGGATCCTGCACTGGATAATCGCACAACATTTTTCAGATAGTGCTATTGTTTCATGCTCAAGCAACTTCTTTTTTTAAGTCAACATCTCCTTCAAAAACTTGAAGGATAGCGTCAATGAATGGGATATTGACATGCAGGTTTTTTTATACTTTTTTTCTTTTTATTTTTTATAATAATCCAATATAACTTTTAAATTATAGGGATTATTAATTGGACAAAATTAAAGAAATTGGCCTCATTTTACATATTATTATTGTGATTTTTTTTAATATATTCCAATATTAATTTTTAATATTATTGATGATTATTATTTGGATCGAAAATTTGATTGGATAGACATGTCAAGTATTGACATTACTTTGTAGGCTAAATCACCAGGGAAAGTTATGTTGAAATCGTGAGTTCTTGCACTTTTCTCATTCGATTACAAAAAAAAAAAAAAATTGTACAGACGCTTTAAAATTTTAGTAGTTTTGAATGTTTGGAATAATCTCTCAATCAAAAATTATGTTAATCAATTAATAGGTCTGTTGAAATCAATAGTTGGCTGAATAGCCCATGGAGGCAGAATATATAGTAGCTGATGCTGTGAACGGACGTTGGCTAAGGGAGTTGTTAAGGAAAATTGGTTTGGTTAATGAAAATATTAGGTAATGTATAGATAATCAAAATGCAATCCAGTTAGGTAAAAATAATATGTATCATGATATGACAAAACATGTAGATATAAATTTTAGAACCATGCTACAGTTACAACTTTATTTGTCAATTTTTTTGACAGTCCCCTCACATGAGGGTGGGACCCGCGATTGACAAAACATGTAGATATAAATTTTAGAACC